CCTTGAAGGGGATTACAAATATGTTTTTACTTGTTAAAAAGAGGTGTGAGCATCAGCATCTTTCTTCAAAATGCTTGACTATAAACTATACTCTTTTAAAATCATGGTTACAGAAGCACACTTATTTTCAGTCTATTTTTTAACTAGCCTATGGATAAGCAAATAGCATTTAAAAGAAAAGAGTTGAAAATTTTGTTTCTGTCTTTTCTGGCTATATGCGAGGTCACATGTTATGAGGTTTTGAAGCAACAGTCCTGTAGTCTTCAAGGTAGAGATGATGACAAGATGACCTCTGCAGACTAAATCATTAATATGCCAAAGACACCTAGAAATGTGTCTAACTTCATTGTACAATGAGCAGAGACCATTAAATCCCCCGCAACTTTCTATATCTACTGGCAGTGCTTGAAAGGTGAAATGAACACAGCAAAGAAAACGAATTAAAATTGGTATTGACACAGAGAAAATAAAATAAATTCATAATCCACTTGGACTTTACTTTTGTGCAGGGTAATAGACATGGATCAAATTGCATTTTTCTTCTACGTGCAGACACTCAGTTTGACAAGTGCCATTTGCTGAAGATATTATTTTTTCCAGTGTGTATGCTTAGCTTTTTTATAAAAAACAAACAAAAATTCCCTAAGATGTCTAACATGTCTGAATCATCAGTTATAGTCCATTGTGTCTTTTTGTGCTAATATGATGCTGTTTTTATTATTATAGTTCTACTGTACATCTTGAAATCAGGAATGATGAGACCTCTAACAGTTTTGTTTTTGTTTGTTTGTTTGTTTTTATTGTTTATAATTGTTTTAGCTAACCTGGCTTTTTTTGTTTTTCTTTATGAAGTTGAGATTATCCTTTCAAGATCTATAAAGAATTGTGTTAGAATTTTGATGGGGGATGCATTGAATGTGTAGATTGTTTTTGGTAGGATAGCCATTTTTACTGTTAATCATACTTATCCATGAACATGGGAGAGCTTTCCATCTTCTGATATCTTCTTTAATTTCTTTCTTCAAAGACTTGCAGGCTTTTTTTTTTATCATAGAAGTCTTTCAATTGCTTGGTTAGAGTTACCCCAATGTATTTTATATTGAGATTATTATGAAACGTGTTATTTCCTTAATTTCTTTCTTAGTGTTTTTGTTGTTGTTAGAGGACTACTGATTTCTGTGAGTTATTTTTGTGTCCAGCTACTTTGCTGAAAGTGTTTATCAGCTATAGTAGTTTTCTGGTAAAGATTTTAAGGTCATGTATATATACTATCATACCTCCTGCAAGTAATTACACTTTGACTGCTTTCTTTCCACTTTGTATCCACTTTATCTCCTTCAGTAATTGTTTTATTGGTCAGTTAAAACTTAAAATACTATACTGAATTAAAATCTTGTTTCATTAAAATCTTGTTCCTAATTTTAATGAAATTTCTTTGAATTTCTAACCATTTAATTTGATGTTTATTATAGGCTTACTGTAAACTGTCTTTATTTTGTTTATGTATGTCCCTTGTATCCTTAATATCTCAAGGACTTTTATCTATCTATCTGCAAATGTGTATTCATGAAAGGTAAGGAAGTACATAATAAGAGCACCGAGGATGCATTCTTAACTTGACATGATATTAAGTTTTCCAATTGAGAAAACTCCTTCGGAAAGATATCCTGAAATTGAAAGGCAAAACTGAGTCATAAGGAGTTAAAAGGGGAAAGTCAAAGTGACTCAGTGTTTGTCTTGATTATAAGAAGGAAATGGCAATTCAGAACTCTTAGAAGAAGTTTAACTGCCTGCCACACAGGCTTTTAAATTGATTTTGGAAACCACATATCCTAAGGGTATTTAGGATTAGTTGATTCTCCACATGAGTTTGCTCTTTATTGGGAAAACTAAATTATTTGACTTCAAGAATTTTATGCAGCAAGAGTTAGAGAACTGAAATCATACCTGTAGCAGGGCTTTTGGCTGCTTTATTGGGTTCTTTTTCTTACCTCCATAAACTAATCCTATCTCTTCCTAGCACCCAACACTAGGTAGGAAAGAAAGGATAGAAAGGAGAGGGCATAGCATCTCTTTAGACTACTTCGTCCTGATTAACAGCATCGAGTTCCTTGGGGCAAATTTGATCTCTGTCCTCAGGATATCTTCAACCAGCAATCTAGCAAACAGAAAGCAGCAACATCAATACCAGCATCAGTGCCAGCCACAGGGGAAGCAGTGGTCGTGGCAGGACCTCTCAGGGCCCTTGCATTCATACAAGAGTCTCCAGAATTCCAAATGTAAACTATCCTCAGGTGGCAAAAGCACACCCCTGCCAGGGCAGCCTGAAAATCATAGTTAGCTGCTGGGGACTAATCTGTAGCAGCCGTATATCCCAGACAAGGGATTAAAACAAACAAATATTCACATAACATAGCTGGCTTTTTAATGAAAACAAAATTCTAACTATACATAGTTAGATTTTGAGAAATGTTGGAAGGACACAGTCCATATTCTACCCTTGGAAAGGTTGCCAATGTACATAAATACCTAGCATGGAGATACCTTTCTCTTTCTTTCTTTCTTTCTTTCTTTCTTTCTTTCTTTCTTTCTTTCTTTCTTTCTTTCTTTCTTTCTTTCTT